ACCCCAATCAGCACACAAGCTTCAGGGCATCATCACGGCAACTCTAACTTTCCCATTACGATAATGTGATTTTCACTCAGTCTATAATATCACCAGCCATGAATAAAACAACTGGCTTTTTCTCTCTTTCTCTCTCCCTTCCCTCTCTTCCCCCTCCCTCCCTCCCTCTCCCTTTCTCTCTCCCCCTCTCTCGGATCACAGTCTTTGCATACTAATGATGGCTGAATATGGCTTCCAGGGTGCGATCTCTGATGGAGAAGGAGGTCAGGCTCTGGGTGGATCCCCGGTGCTCTCTAGTCCTCACACATACACTTTCATCTCTCTTTGACCCTCCTGGATATCTTGAACCTGACTGGACTGACAGACCTGGCTGAATAGACAGGTAGTCGCTGGCTCCTTGTCCCATCTGCATCATGCACCTGGAGAGGGGCAGGGACACACTGCAGTTTTTGTGGCTGGGTAGAGGGGGAGTCTTGGTCCCTGAAGCCTACTAGCCCCTGCCTGGCTCCCTGGAGCATCCCCATCTCAGTTCAAATGCTCTGGCGTGTGGGAAATGTGTCAAGCTGAGATTAATCCTGCCCCAGGGCACCCTCACCCCCCACTGCTCAGCCAAGCTGTTTGTCTAACCCCGTTCAGGTCTGCTGTCCCTGAGGATATATGGAGGCCAGATCAGGGAAGCAATCTGGCTGAAAACAACCCTATCACCAAAAAAATGAGCAATTCCCATAGGGATCAGGTACCTGATCCAACCTGCTACTCGAAGCAGCACTGTTGCAGGGAATTGACTGGATTTTCCTTCTGATAAGCAACTTGCAGGATTAGACCCATCCTCTTTTGAGTCCCAGCACTGCCAGAGTCATTCACAACTACCGCAGAGGAGAAATCCCTTTTGCAGGCTCTTAGGGAATAACCCTGACCAGAGGTTCCTGCTCATTTCGGCAGCTCCAGTTTAACTCATCAGCTGATGAGTTTAAACCAGCCAGAAAGGGTTCATGACTGATTTTGGTGATTTCCGGCAGACTGAGCATCACTGTGCATGTTTTGATGTGGCTGGGGCTCCACTCTACGCTGTACTACATGCCCTGCTCTGCATCCAGCCCCAGCAAACATGCCATGCCTGCTCTGCATGCCTCTGGCTGAAGCTGGCACCCAGCTGGCATGGGGGTGACACGGAGGGGAGCACTCCCATATGCAGGAACTCAAACAAGATTGGTTTGCTTTTGTTTCCCATTCTCACTCCAGAAACTGCCATGCCAAGGCACAAGAAACCAGGCACACTTTGGCCCTTTCCAGACCATGCTGATCCAACATGCAAAGCCAAAGTTCAATTTCCTCACATCCTCCCCACATTTGTTCTCTGCCTCCAAAGTTTTCAGACCTCTCTTGCTTGGAGCAGCAAGAGGTGGCTTGGAGCACTGTGAGGTTCTCTAACCCCAGACTCCATACCAGAGACATGCACTGTTCCTTTAACTCCTCTCAACCGAGTGCTTTGGTTTGGGTTATTATCTCGGGTGGATAATTAATTTTCTTGAATATCAGCAGCTGGCCCTGGGTGGGAGCTGTGTTGGAGAGAGTGGCAGAGCACAGGATTGGGTTGTAAGATGCAAGAACACCTGTTTGTGCTTCTCGTTTTCTCCCTTAAACCTATAAAGCAAGGGACAGAAGGAGATAGGGTCTGTGCTTGCTCTGCCCCAGAAAGGTGCCTGTGGGCAAGCAGCAGTGTGGAAGGGATTGGCTCTTTTTTTTTGCAAGATAAAGAGATGCACTGAGTACTAATTGCTCCAGCGGCTGTTGAAATGTCAGTGTTCCTGACCAGCACTCCTTGCTGTGTCAGGAGAGCTGCAGGGTGAGAGTTGAGTTACTGGGGTCCTCCAAAGGCTGTCTGAAGCAGCAATAAAAGGCATTTTAGGAGCAAAAATGGGACAGGATGGCGCCTAGACTTTGTAGAGACTGAAATTGTGGATATTAAGTGAGTTGTCTTGTGTGCTTGCAAGTTTTGAGTGCTCAAAGAGGAAAAACAGGCAAGAAAACACAAAGGTTTGGCAACACCCTAGTTTGTGCTACAGGTCTCTTGCTGTGCAGAAGGGGTGGCAGACTGCACGGGTTAAATCCTGCTGCTACTAACCTGTGACAATTCCTCAGTGGGCCATGACTGACCTAGTAGTGCCAGGATGGTGCATGAAAAACCAACCCTGAGCCTGAAAGCACATGGCCAGGGCGTGCTTTAATGGCACTGCTGTGCAGCATTGCCACAGCTCCTGACTGCTTTGCTGGAGAGCCACCCAGGGAGAATGAAGACTTGGTCCTTGCAGCCTGTCTCTGGGACAGGATAAGTAGGGAAGTTGCATATTACAGACACTTGCATCCTGGTTAATATGCATTGTGGGGTGGCAGACAGGGCATCTCTCAAAATGAAAGACTGACGCAGGCTGCCTTTTCACTCCTGCCTGGGAGCACTCATGGCTTGTAAGTGTCCTTCTATAAATCAAGCTTCTTTCCCAGCTGGTGGTTGTCCCTGCAGTATAGGTGGCTTTGGAGGTGGCTCTGTCTCTGCCATCTCTCAGGTGTGATATAGGGTGACTGAGAAACTGCAATGAGTCCTGCTGCAAGCAGCCTGGAAGGTGCCCTCTGCAGATGAGAGAAATATGCTGGGCTGGTGTACCCTAGAAACCCATGCTGGGATCCATTGCATGTCCTTTCCCCACCCCTAGCAATGGTCTTGGATATGAGGTGCTTTGGGATTTCAGAACCAGGCAGCAATGAGTCCTCAGCAATGCAGCTGCTTTGGTGGCCTCTCCAGCTGGAAAAGGCTCCCTTGCCTACCCTGACATAAAGAGAAGAGCAGAGGTGCTCCAAAAACTAGTAGAAACCTGTGCCCACTGATTCCCCCCACAGGGCTCACCTCACACAGCAGGGGACATGTCCCCTGGTGGGTGACAGAGCTGGCTGAAATGGATGGGGCTGTAATGGAGTTACCTGCCGGCAGGGCTACCTGGGAGAGGCTCTTATCTGTCATCTGATTTATCCAGGTTAAAAGGCTGCAATCAGTCACCAAGGTAGATTCATTCCCCGGTAAATAGTGCCCGAGGGCTTCCAGGACCTATTTTACTGCTAAGCACTCTCTTTCCAATGCTTGAATACCTTTGTTCCCAATGGAGCTGTTGCTGGCTGATATATATATGATATGGAGAGTCCCAGTGACTTTTTTATTTTTGCTCTGTACAGCTTCTGGCCTTGTCTCTGCTGCAGTGGGCTGCACAATGAATTATCTGTCCAAGGCTTCCTTGCGTCTGGGGCAAATCCAGCCGAGACTGCTCTTGGCTGCTGGGAGAGCTGTGTGTGAAACAGCTCTGACCAGAGCCTGGGAAACTGGCACAGTGAAAGAGGAGAGGTTTGAAGGGGAGGGAAGTGATGCCCTGAGTGTTGGCTGGCCCAGGTTTGGGGGTAGGGGTTGGATGTGACCCAGCTCTCCTGCCCTTGCTGTTGTTGCTGGGGCACTTTGTGAGCTGGTGACAGAGCTGGGCTGAAGGACAGTCATGTGCTGTGGTGCCCAAACAGTTTCTTTCTCCACTGTCTTATTCCTGCTGGACCTAATTAGAGCCTGTCCCCTATCACAGGTGAGTTTCTTCCAGGTTTGGGTACTTTCAGGTTCAGAGAGGACTCCCAAGCTGTGAAGAACAGTGACTGGCATCACTCTGAAAGTGGTACTTGGAACTCAGTGATCTCCAGAAAAAGGGCTTCCTCTGCCCTCTGGGGTTCAAGTGCCACCTCTCGTGGCATGCCACAAAGCCATTCTGATTTCCTCTGGCCACTGAGCTCCCCTGCCTTGGCCCTGCTCTTTGAGGGCATGTTTGTATTTGACTTGGTGGTGGAGAAGGAAAAATCTCTGTGAAGAAGGCTATGGACACAATATCAGTTTCTATCATCATTTTAATCTTTTACTTTTTTTCATCCCTATTGAACCAACAACACAAACCCACAGAACTGCTGGCAGTGGGTTGCCATCCCCATCCAAGCCCTGGGTACTGCCTGCCTCCACATCCCAAATGCCAGGGGAAAGGCTGCATCCTACCCCTTTCTTTAGGGAGAGCTCAGGAGCCCTTTTCTACTAAACCTTGTTCCTATGTACCTTCAGGTACTTGTCCTGTGGACATCTGAGGTTTGACTGCTTTTATTCCTTTTCCTGTCTTTGACAAATCTCTTATGTAGTTCATCATCCCAAATCAGTTTGTTAATTTCCTCCTGCTCTTCCCCATCTCCTCCCACTCCTTCTCCCACTAATTAGAGTGAAGGCCTAATGGAGTATTACTGTGAGGGACTAGGCAAGCTTCCCAAAGTGCTTACCTAAGAGGACAGCACTTTGACTAATAGATGCACATTAAGGCTGTGCATCCTCTCATCGTCTTGTCCTGAGAGAGGGAGGAGGGGACCAAGAGTACGGAGCAGAGCTACACGTAACACTATTGGAATCGCTGGCTCTCTCCACATATCCAGGTTGTGCTACACAGTTAGACCATCACTGCTCTCAGATTCACCCTTATGGATGGGTTTTAGATCTAAGTTGGTCTTTGGTAACACCCCAGCCAGGTGGATTTGACTTCCAGTAGATGCAATGTGGCCCTTTGCCAGTTCCAGATACCAGTTTTCCTGCTTGGGGGAAAGCGGGTTTTTTCCTCATGCCATCTTTGTACAGCACCCAGCACAGGAGGGCTCCTTCAGTCCCCCAAGGGACGTTCTGAAGTTCCTGCATCAGTCCTTTGAACACTGGATCACCAAAAGCTGCCCTGAGATGAGACACTGGGGCAGCCAGAAGGAAAGCAGGAGGGATGGGGTCTGTCTGATAGCATAGAGCACTTTAGAAGCTACTGTATATATACCTAGACCTCCTCCCAGGAATGTCATTAGAGCTTTTTTCCTGTTGGTCCTTTGGCTTTGAAGCCTCCTGTGCATTTTCCAGAGGCTGCGCCCAGCACTGGAAGAGAGTGTGAGGCTGGAACTGTACCTGAACTTTGGGGATGCACTTGGATGATTGACAGTGATGATCAATTTGTTTCTCTGTCCTTGTTCCCGCAATTTGGTTTCTGAACCTGTGCTGGGTTGCAGAACGAATTGGATCAGCCTGACAACCATCACCAACGTCATCTGCAACCTTCAAATGTTTTGCAGCTCAATCCTCTGGACCCCTGGAGGGCCATCACACTGACATTTAAACCTTGTAAATTGCAGCAGCGCTCAGAGGCACCAGGAGAAAAGTCAAGTGCTTCAGTTAAGATGTGGGCAGGCATGGGTCTGCAAGTGGGTGTTTGCTGGTTTAGTGTATGGGGACATCTGATCTTGGGAGAGAGGTAGCCAAGGTAGCTTGATGTAAAATGGGGGTGGGCAGAGTGAATGGGAGAGGAGTGAGCTGAGGCTATCGTGGGCCTTTCTGAGGAGGGAGAAAGGATTTCCAGAAGCTAGTTTGGAGAAGTAAAGCCATGGTGTCTGTGAAATGTGGGTGCTGAGGTTCAGGGGACTACTGATGGCTGGGCCTGGGGATGGCATCAGGGGACAGCTTATGGCATGCTTCTGAGATTGTTTCACCCAGGAAAGTATAACTTCCTAAGTGTATAGAGCACGTGCATGAGGTCAGTCTTACCTTTGTTTCACTTGGGCTCTCCAGGTGTCCCAGATTTCTCTCTGCCACTGCTTACTGGGAGCCACCCTTTTGGTGCCTGACCTCTTAGTAACCTCACCTAGGTAAGAGGTGGTTGTTTGGAAACGGTTTTTTGTGCGCTGGCTAGCTTTGCTCCCTGATTAGTAGTAGCTCTATAACAGGAGAGATGTAGGGATAGACACAGGACAGGTTCAAATTGTCCAGCTTCACTCCCTGAAGTCAGCATCTGCTGAGTCACCCATGCTGCTGATATTCTTTACGAGGGTGCTTCAGGGGGACGCTTGGCTAAATTAAGCCTCAGCATCAGGACCCTAAGGGCAGTGATGGAAATGGCTCTGTGCATCTCATTCATCTCCTCTTATGCTGGGCAAGGCCGTGAAACCTACAAGTGCAGACACTGATACTAGACCTGAGCTTGGCCCAGCTGCAGCACGGATCACAGTCGGTCCCTGGTTCTCAGGCTCCAGGCTTTCGAGTGCTGGTACCTGACATGTGAGTGCTGGGAGAATGAGGAATCCATCACAGCAAGAAGAGCATCCTCAGGGCAACTGCCCATGTGCATCTAAAGTTGAGGGGGAGGGATACAACACTTTCCTGTTGCAGGGAGGAGGGTTATCACCATCCTGGCCACCCACCCATGCAAGGGGATCCTTCAATCTTATTTATGCGAGCACTGGGGAGGAGGGATACCAGAGCTCCCCTTGGGCTGGGCACCACTCTCTCCCTGCCTCAGTGAAGGCACAATGAGTGGCCACAGAGCAGGGTCACTCAGTAGTGCTCCCATCAGGGAGGAAGCCTTCCTGCGCCCTGGCAAACCCCTAGTGAAAGACAATCAGGCTCACTGTCACTGAGCTAATTCCGACGGCATAAAAGCAGTAATGAAATTCACGGCAGGATTAGCCTCTCCATCCAATGGGCCGGCGCCACAGTGACATATCGTGCTTCTTGCCCGAATGTAACACACCATCTAATTTACGTCGTGTAGCGAGCGGGAATGAAATGTTCATAAAGAATTGCTGAATCTTGTCACCTTAACTGCGGCCCCGGGCTCTGAGGCATCTGTCAGGGAGAGGAGAGCGGAGAAGGAGGCTCCTGCCTTGCAAAGCTGCGACCAGGGCTTTGGGAAAGGGGAGATGGCTGCATTAATCTTCTGGGTCTGTGCAATGGAGATGTAGCGTGTGGGGATGAGGACTCTAGGCTGGAGGAGGGGGGCTGTAGAGCTCCCTTGCATGTGCACGCTGTACTGAGTGGTGACAGTGACAAGGAAGAGGCTGCTAGATCCTTCCTGCCCCCAGAACTGCATGCCTGGGATGCATGAGAAGGGACTTGTAGTGGTGTGAAAATAAGGGGCAGCATCCTTGGAGATCTACGTGCTCACGGCAGAACATAAGTTCCCAAATTCCATATTGGGTCCCACATGCAGGTGCACACCAGTCAGCAACTGCAGGTGTTGCTTGCCTTGGGAAGCGTGTGCATAACCCTTCTGCTGTGGCTCAGCAGCCCTTTTCCCTCCCTCCCCTCCATAAATGTTTACTTGCAGTTAATTTTCATGGATCCTAATGGCTCGGATCCTGCTAGGGGGGATCGTGCTTGCCTCTTCAGTCAGAAAGTTTGCAGAAAAAAATAGCCCTTTCCTGTTGTGTTTGGAGTAATAGCGTCTTAGTGTCCGGAGGGGAGTTGGCAAGGAAACAGGGAAGTTTATTAAGAGTAAGAGATTGAATTCTGTTGGGTTTAATTGGAAGTGCTTGAGCAAACAGGGGAGGGAGCTGTCCAGTCTAGCTCTCTGGACGTGGCAGCACTGGCCCCAGGCTCCATGACCATGGAGCTGACTGGTCCCAAGGCCACCTTATCCCCTTGACTGCTGGGGAAGCTGCAGCATCTGGCTTGTTTGCTTCCTTGAGGTCATCTGTGCACCTCAACCCTGGCCTCCTACTCCATCAGTGGGATCCTACGTGGGGTCTGGAAATGCTGGGTCAGGAAGGATGCAGCTCAGAAGTGTCTGGGAAAAGGCAGTATTTGGATCCATATTTTACTTTGGAAGCTGGTTCAGGGTGCAAAGTGTGCAACTGAGGCGTGACTCCTGTCTCTCCTGTGCTACTGAGTCCCCTCCATGAAAATCTGGATTTTCTTCCTCAAGCAGGGCCTGCACAGCTCCAGACTGGGATTCAGCAGCAGCTGGCTGAGGTGCAGGTATTGGGTACCTAATTTGCAATTGGGATATGTTTTGGGAGAGTAACTTAAACTTGAAAGGCCTGCTCTGCTTTCCCATTTTAAAGTAAATGCGAAGCAAATCCACTTTTGGATCCTAATCCCCACAACCATCCTTCAGGGCATGGAAAATCTCCAAGTTAGATTCCTGTGGATGAAAACATCTGCCTGCCTTGGGCTGGTCTGGACACTGCCTGCAGTACGAGCTGCAGCACCTTTGTGCCCCTCCTGTACTGATACTCACAGCCACGCAAAGCAGTATGGAAATGTACCTTTGTGGTTGCAAAAGTAGCTGAATGCCAGAAGTCTGATTTTGTCCTAGAAAAGCTTCTCCTCCAAGACCTTCTCTAGTCCCACACAGTTGAAAGTGGCATCCAAGGGTTGGACTTGATGAGGTCCTTTCCAACCCATCTGATTCTATGATTCTATGATTCTGTAAATATTCTCCTTGCAGAAGAAGGTAAATGGGGGCTCAGACATTTCTTTTGCTTTGAATTCAGCTGATCGCTCTGCTGAAAAATTCAAAATTAAAGAACAATAAATAATTTATTACTTTATTTACTTTAATTCAATAAATTGCTTCCCCACAAATTAAGATATATTGCTTCAAATTAAATGTTTCATTAAATCTGAGATTAAACTTTTGGGGACTGGGGAAAGTAAGACTTTTTAATTTGGCTGGAAACATGAAAACTGCCATTTCCCATTGCTTTAATTGCAAACTCTGGAACAAAAGTGACACAAATTTTACAAAGCGCAGTTGTGCTGGTTTGGTCGCTGCTCCCACTCCTCTGGGAGATCAATGGGTTTCTCATTCTGAGTCTTCCAGGGTGACACGTGGCTGCAGACTTTCAGCTGCAAATTCAAAGGGAGCACACCTCTAATCCCAACCAAGCCTCACAGGAACGAGCTTTAATTGAATCACTTTGTGTCTCTTAGACTTTGCAGGGTCTTGTTTCTCCACAACCTTGCTTCGTGGGTGAAACTGTCATAGTGCCTGTGCTCCAGCCACACTGTATGCTCTTTGTTTTATATATATATATATATATATATATATATATTTAACTTCCTCTTGGTTGATGCCCTATCCTGGGACTCCTGAAGGTGGGGTTTCAGCCATATGCTATATCCCAGTCTCCAAAGGTGGTCTTCACCTCTGATGAATGCAAGATATAATCTCATGTCTCTGTTTTCCAGTGGTCTTATACATGCAGAGGTCTTCTACAGGTTCTCACTAATGTGATGGCCAAGAGACAGAGATGAATGGGACAGACAGACTTGCACAGTTGGAGATATATGTAGACTAAAGTGAATGAGTTTGCTGGCTCTCTGGGCAGTGATCTGCTTTGTACTGCACCTAGCGTGAGAGAGAGCTACGAGGTGGGATCTCTGGGACCTGTCTGGCTGCTGCACGTCAGTACCAGCTTTTGTAATTTATCAGGGACTGCTGGAGGGGCTTCCAGTTAGCACGTGCCTCCCTAGGTACTCAGGCACCTATGCACCAGTACACCCACTGCAGAGCTCCTCTGTGCCCTGTGACAGTCTGTGCTGCTCCACTTAGGAACAACTTGCACAAACACAGTCGCAGGAGCAAATAATTGCTAAAGCGCTCCTATTCTTTCCCCTTGGACTCTGTTAGCAGAAGAACTGTAGGTGCTATGAAACAGTGCTGAAGGAATACTCCCTCTCTTGTCCAAGCCCTGGTTGGCAGGCTTTGAGTGACAGAAATGCTGCAAATAGTTGGTTGTGATTATGTCCTTTTTAGTGCCCTCTTCTCCCATGGCAGCAGGCTCACAACTCTGTGTCCTTCACTTGTGATGGTATCTGCTGCAGGTTTGCAAAACTGGGACCATAGTTGTCTTTCACAAGAGGATTAGAGCAGCAAAAGAGGTGTTTGGGATATTGGGTGGTGTCTGATGGAGGGAGAAGGCCTTCTGCTACCTACTCTGGGCTGCTCTGAACAGAGCTGGTAGGAACCTGGGCAGAGACAAGACTGTGCTTCTTTTATCTTTGTGTTTAAAAGCTTTCCCTGAAGGGAAATCTTTCCTTATGAGGGCCTTTTTGCTTTCAGGAGAGGTTTCCCTCTAGGGAACCTTCTAATGGTTTGGGAAAATTTCGTTTTCTGAGTTGTCCTTCAGGAACCAAATAGCTGGAAAATGACCCCTGAGGAATGGGGTGCACATGGGGTGTGGGAGTTAGCTCTGCAGGCAGGGTCCCACACTCCATCTCTGAGCAGTGAATGATGCTGGAGAAGCAACCTCTGAACTGCATGTGTGTCAGATCCTGGAACTCAGGTTGGGGCTTCTGGACTCAATGGGTTCACGGCAGAGGGTTTTTGGATCTGTGAATTGTAACATCCCTCTGCGATATGGGGAAAGCCACAGTCGCTGCAGCAAGTGGGCTTTTGCCAGGCAAAGTCTCTTATGTACGTACTATGCAAGTCAAGAGTATTTACAGGAGATCTCGCTGCCTGTAACTTAAAGCTTTAGCGAAACAAATTGGAATTGCCTTCTGGAGGCCATTGCTATAAATTACAGCCTCAACATCTGTCCACATCTGCAATGTCTAGACAATCCGTCTCGGCTAGAAGAGGGAGGGTGGGGGAGACTGTGATCACAGTGGGGAGGGGAAGCAAAGGGCTTATGCTGGGGCTTGTGCCAAGCACCCTGGCTCATGCTGCCCCTCTGCTTTTGAGCATGATGCTCAAAGTGGGGTCCAGCCCAGTCAGGAGGGACTTGCAGGGGCATCTGAGGCAGGAGGAGACACACCTGCCTTCCCCCATTGCAGATTGATACCAGCAACAAATTTGGCCCTTGGAAGTGTTGACGGCTGCTGCCTCCTTTATTGTATGTTGGAGGATGTGAGGGAAGACAGCGCCTTCAGGCAGGCTTGTTCCCGGCTTTCCCTGGCCCCTGTGCAGCGCTTGCGATAAAGAGGCCTGGCCGTCAGCTGAACGATTGTATTTTTTTTACAGTTCCTAGCGCAAACCTTCTCATTTATATGTAAAGTAGCCATTAGTCATAGCTCTGTTCCCTCACACTGCCTGATGTACAATCACATTTTGCAGTGGATGAATCTTTCCACACAGCTGCTCTGCTATGAATAATCCGTTGCTGGGCCCATAAATCAGAAAAAAATCATGCACCTCCTTTGCCTGATCCTTACACAAAGTCATATATTTTACATGAGGACAAGCTAAATATTCATGAGGCTTTAAAAGGCTGTTCTGACTACAAGGTACTTGTTGGGGTTGTTTTTGTTCTATCGGGTCAGATTTGGTGGTTTGGGTTTGTTTTTCATCCTTGGAAGAAGAAATCTTTCTTTCCCCTTTGCCACCCTTCAGGCAGCAACACTGAGCTCTTGACAATGATCCTCTGGACTCGTGTTTGCTGAAGGACTGATGAATTTGTCATTGCTGCTGTCTCAAGGACAGGCTGATGGAAGGTGCTGCAAACACCAGAGGATGCGTCCTAGGGAGATGGCCAGGCCTCAGAGTAAAGGAGCTGCTTTTAGGGTAAAGAGGTGCTTTCCAGATCTGTGCTGGGGCACCTGGCTGGCTGGGAGTCGGGGTGCATGTTTCTGCATGTGCATGTTTTCCGCATTGTGCCTCAGCTGGGTGTTCAACATCAGGGCCTCTGGCAAGACTGTGGGTGAAACTGGGAAGGCTGCTGGCAATGGCTATAGTCTCTGTTCAAGAAGGTTCTTATCACCCTGATTCCTTTTAATCCATATTTTAAACAAAGCACTGCATAGTCTATGGAGAGGACTAGGACCAGGGCTTCAGCATCTCCTGCTTCCCAGTGGCCAAGCGGATTTGGTGGGAGAACAGCACTATGCAGCCATAGTGGTAAGATGGGAAACGAGCTCAGGTTTACCTGCTCAGAATCCCTGTGAGGATGCCCTACTCTCAGGACCTGGCCTTTCTGAGACATTCCCACACTCTGCCTTGGCCATGCAGAGCCTCCAAGTGGCAGTAGTGATGCTGTTCCTGCAGGGAGGGCCCTCAACCCCCACAAGAGACCCTGACAAGTGTGAAGACAAGAGGCTTTTCACCCAGTATCCACTGAATTAGCAGCTCCCCATAACTGAAGGGACCAGTCTCATCCTTCC